AGTAGAGTTAAGTGTTCTTTGTGTTTTTGGTACCAAGCCAGGAGCTGCAGTCGCCTGCTGGTATGAAATCTGTGAAGAATAACAGCAACTGGTAACCTATAGTGTAGCTTAAAAAAGAAAAATACCATCTCTGCCAGGAGGAAGGAGAATAGTTTCTGGTCTACACTGCGCTGTTTCTAACAAGACGGCATAATAAACATCCCTTTTGTGTTGAATAACTTTCCTATCCAGTAGGAAGCCACTGTTGTCTTTGCTTTTTTTTAATCAACAACACAGGTTCATATACAGGTAAAACAAATGAGGCTAAAACCCTTGCCCCATTTTAGGTACCATAACCAAAGATGGTGACGCAACATGCCATGGTTCATCGGGTCCACTGTCAACCATGTATCTATAAACAACTAATTCTAAGCTATGGGAGTTTTTTCTATCTTTCCCCATGCTGGCACTGTTGGAAAAACCACACTTGTATGTTTGTCCAATGGACCTCAGTGGCAGTCTGGAGGCTCTATTCTTGGTCACGTGGTAAGATGAACAGTTTTACAGCAGTGCAATATAAATACATTGGTTTTAGCTCTCAAATGCCTAAAGCTCCACTATCCAAAGGTAATGATAGGTACAGTACTGTAACTAGTAATATACAGCACTACCTACCTCTCCGAAAATGTGGTCACATTATTGGTCTTTTAGCTGCTTTGAGAGTGACAGTGGGGTACATCCCTCACAGAGGGAAGTCAGTGTTTACAACAGTGCTATTTTCAGAAGGTGTAAATTGAAAATTACTTACAGCTTCTTTAAGCTGTAATGGTCCTGGGTTTTAGTGGATGTGAAAGCAGAGCATACGCAGCACAAGCAGCTGCACAGGTACTTCTAGCTGCCCACCTATTTCACTGGGGGTGTTTTTCAAAGCCAAGTGACTTTGCGCAGTTGGAATCTGATCACAACTGCATCCCATCACTATATCAGTTTACTTGTAAACTTTAAATAGAACAACCAAAAACACCAAAAAAAATTTAAACCAATTTTACCAGCGCGTCTGGTATTGGCTCTTATTTATATTGGTATTTGCTCTTTATTTATTGGCTCTTGTGTGCATATGTTAGGGAAGTGACTTCAAATATTTAGTTTTATCAGTTACTCTTTCAATTACGGCTGTTGTTTGCCTCTATGAGCGTAATATTTTATTGCATACAAGCCCAGGAAATGCAATCCTTAGTCTGCACAAGTAGTCCTTTAGCTGTAAACTCGACCAGATACACTTAGCCTTTCATCAACTGACTTCCTGCCTGAACGATTTGCTCTGCTCCAGATTAACGTGGATTTGAAGCAGCAAAAATAGAGCGGTCGCCTATTTAAAAAAGGCAGCCAGTGGCTGACATTGCAGGAATATTTCAGGAACGTGCAGCAACATTTTCAGTGAAAACACTCTGATCGACTAGAAATCATTTGATCATCCACTACAGACTGGGTGTACTCCACTGCTGGTTTTGTGGTTTTACACCAGTGTTACAATGTTTTTAGGATTATACAACAATAGACTGCAGTATGCGTGTTATTTTTTTTAAACTATACTCATTAGTTCCTTTACGTGTTGATGCAATAATAATAAGGCTTTCTATGTGTATTTACTTTTGAAGACAAAATTCTGAAAAGACTGAGTCTGATTTAACACCTATAAAATCTGTCCAACTCAATTTTACTGCTGGTGTCAGATACAGTTAAGAATATCACAGCTTTGTGATTAGGACTAATCTGTTTACAGACTTCAGACTTCTTTAATGAAGTGACTTCCAATGAGCTGAATAAAACTGAAATGTTGAGTAATTATTAGATTTCTTTCTTTTTTTAAACCTGTTATAAGGAAAGGTGTCAAAAAAAAACTAATTCTAGAAGTGTTTAAAAAATGCTGTATTTCTAGCCATCAATTATAAAGTCACTTTATTGGATACACATTAAAATCAATATTTTCTGAAACAACCTTTTCTCTCTTGTCATTCCTATGGCAGCCCTTTAAAGAAGTTAAAACTCAACCTTTTGTCAGATTTTCTCGGCCACCAAGGACATCTGGCATTACTATTTTTGCAAACTAGATTGATTGTGGAAACCTTTTTTTCAGTGATTCAGCATTTTTTTATGTTAATGGTAACAATAAAACCATATATAGATGTTTTACTTGGCAGTTTAAATTATGTTTCTCAGATATAGCATAAACCAAGTCAGTAAGCTATAAGGGTCAGAAAAAAGGAGTTACATGTGTGACAAATGTTACAAATACGTATCTCAATTTTTGTATTTCCTAAACAGAAAAGGTTCATGTTTCATTAATAAAAATATTTCTTTATTGTGTCCAAATTTTCTTTTTTGACACAAGCAAAATCTGATATATGAAAGGTAAGATTTGAAGAAGAATAGAAAAGCTCTCTAGCTCACATATCACAGACACCATAATGTTATTAGCTCTTTCATTGGTTTCAGATATTTTCAGGATGCAAGGCTATTAAGGCTTTCTGCTGTTAACAAAAGACAGGATCAACTAACTGGTAGAGATGACACAGAATGCATTAACATTTATACTGCTCTACTCTGCTTTGGTGACATCACTGAAGTGCCCACTCTCTTCCTTTGCTCCTTAATGCAGTTCAGCCCACAGCCCATTCACCCCTTACTGTGTGAACTGCTGCAGAACAAATTAATGGCCAAACAAAATCCCCTTTGCATATTTTGAATAAGGAAGTAGCCTTGCTCTAACTAATAACAGACATTACCCTAACTCCCTCAAAAGCTTTACATTATTGGGCATGCAGTCAATTTAGATAAACGACCATTTCAGCACATTAAAGAGAGATTAATATCACTGAACTATTAAAATGGAAAATATGGATTGAAAAAGCTTGGATGTGCTCTATTAACAATAGTCAAGAAGATAAATTAATGTATTGTGAAAATAAGAACAGAAGATAAATGCATCTTGCTCAACATAATTATCTCTTTGCATGTTACAGTGTTTTTGGTGTTTTCCTAAACAGGACCTTAATGTGGAAATTATGCCATCTAGTGGTGCATACAGTACGGCTTTTTTCTAAGGTGATATTTTGGTTCTAGAGACCAAATAGTCAATATCATTCATTAGATAACTATCGATCTATTCATTTTCTAAGCTTATCTATCAGGGCCATGGGGGTGCCATGAGAGAAAGACAGCAGGGCAACACAGAGACATAAAAGCATTCATACACGCCACGAAAAAACATGCAGACTCTATGCAGAAAGACCCCAGACTGGGAACTAAACTTATTACCTTCCTGCTGCAAAGCAACAACCCTACAAACTCTGCCACTGTGGCGCTCCTTCCTAATATAAAAAAAATATATATGTGATTCTTATTAATTGTATTTACATGTGTGTGAGGAAAGTTTTGGGGTTTAGTCCCTTGTCTTTTAAAGTGAATAACTCTGTATTCTGTTAAAATCAGTTCAATTCAGAAATTGAATATTCAGAAACTTAAATATATCCAAAGAGTAAACAAATTTAGTTTTAACAGATTATAACTAAACTCAAGATTTAATTACAATAATAGATTTCTTTATGGTCTTTTAACAAACATAAAATAAGTTAAAATGGTCTACTTGAACTAAGGTTAAGGCATCACTTAAATAAGATATTGGAAAGTAATGACGACAAATATCTAAAAGCATGTATTGGCTTATCCTCTAATTATTATTTGAGATGCACTGAAGAATTAGCTTATTTTTTAAATTGGAAACTCAAAATTAAATTTAAATGAGGACTTTGTGCATACTACTGGTAGTAAAAGACATTAATTTTAAGCCATGAATTTGATAACATTAGAAAAAAATAGCTATAATAACAACTATTATTTGTAGTGCACTTTACATATCTCACAGTAATGTACAGCAGTAAAACATCTAAAATTAGGAAAATAATGAATTGCAATAAAATTAATAAAAGCTGGAAAAGCTGTTCACCCCACCACATATCTTAAGACTGCTATATACATCATAAGATGCTAGAACTTTTTTTTTCTTGCCTTCAAAGCCGCAAGAGCAGAAATAATTAATTTTCTTCTCTCACCTTTCTTTTGGGGCTCCTGCTGCTTGTTCTTGGCACAAAATCTGGTCTGAACTTTTTTTCTTGCGACAACTCCAAGAAGAGCTGTGCGATTGAATCCGGACTTGAATGGGAATTTTTAAGTAGGAAAATCTGAAATGTTCCCCTTTTGTTTTCAGATCAGAAATTCCCTCTTTTAATGAGGTACCAAAATCCATTAAGTCCCACACAGGGGTCTGTTTCGCTACTTACATGATTACATTATCTGTTTTTATTTTTGACCATCCAAAAATGTCCAAATGCACAGACTCCCTCTGTCTTTCAATGGACCAGTGCCTGCTTATCTATCACTGCAGACATTTGAGTGCAAACTTTCATGTGACCTTCAAACATACATAATATAGAGGAAAAACTGTAACTGCATTATGTTTCAGGTTTAATAAATTGCGTTGCAGGTGTTACATATGCCACTTTGCGAGTTTGGAAAATCAACCTATGTTCTGCAGTAGATCAGCTTTGTGTAGCAAAGTTTGCATATGTTTTTTTAGACAAAGAGACAATTATTAGGTACAAAGTTTGCTATCCTCAGGGTCAATGGATTGTTTAAAAAAATGCTTGTTTTTTATCAAGAACGGTTAACATAAATGAAAAGTTCTCTGTAACATCTCATATATGTTAATCATTGCTCTTGATAAAGTAAAACTAATGTGAAACAACTTCCTTTGCTCAAACAAAATGAATTTGAATTACCTATTTATGAGTGCTAATCCTACAAATGGTATAAAACTTGAGATGCTGCTGTGGTTCTGAAGGAAACTGCCTAAATTCACTATCAGCAGGTCAGGGGTTCACAAAAATTGATATATTAAAGTAAATGAACAATAACAGATAATATGAATAAACATAGTAAATAATGAAAAAGGATGATCTTACCGTCATTACAAAGTGGTCCTCCAAATGTCGTCATGCTGCAATCACAGCTAAAGCCCTCCCACTGCTGAAGACACACACCCTGGTTGGCGCAGGAGTCTTCTTGGCATGTGGTACTGGGGCCTGAATTAAAAAGTGAATAAAACCTATTAAAAATAAAAGGTAGTGCACTATAAGAAGATTCAAACTAAAAAGAATAATAGCAAACATAGACAAATGGTATTTGAATTAAAGGTTAACACAGAACAAAAGCACAGAAATAGAAATGTGCAGTCACATCTTGGCTATTACTGCTATTGTTACAATTAAGACCTACCACTATTACCAATTATCTGACATGAGATTCAGGTTAAAAACAATGTATGCCGTAACAATACAAAAACAAACATGAATATGTATAAAAGATAACAAAAATACATGCATTTTTTAATCTTTTATTTTTTTTTGGGGGGGGGGAATGGCTACTCATTCCCTCATTAGTGATTTAAATATCTAAATCACAAACCAACAGCTATGGATGTGAAAATACAAAACATTTAAAATGAAAAGTGATTCAATTTTTATAAAAAAAAAATATGTACTAAATGTTCTTTCAGATTTTTCATTATTTTTCTATATTTACAACGAACACATAATTTATAAATAATTATATAGTAAATTCTGTCTTATTTCAGAATTTCCTACATTTATAAAAAACTTAAGATATTTCCATACCCTATTGATTTCCTATTATACCGGAAATCCAAATACCACTTTGGGAGAGCTATACTACAATCCTCAGCAGTAAGACTTGAATTAATCTGCAAACAAATTAGCTTAAACTTATTCATACAGGTTTAAAATAATCGTTCATATTTAAAAACATGCCTTTTCTGACAAGAAGCAACATTGGAAATTTTGAGTGAGCCAGCCAGAGCCCTGTAATGAATCTAATAGAGAATCTGCAGAGGGAGCTAAATATAATGTGAAACCATGGTGACCTTTCAAATTCAAAAGCAGAAACAGGAAAGAAGGCAGTAAGCATTTATAAGAGGAATTTGATTACTGATAGTACATGAAATTAGAGAGAAAAAAAAATGATTTTAGTAAATATCTGTAGGAAATGTATGATGAATCTTTATTCAAACTAAAAATACAAACTACTTTTGAAATAAATTAAAATCCTATTGATACATTTTTGTAAAAATAAATTTGCCATTTTAAAGCTAAATATTTTAAAGGCAATCCAGGCCATATAAAAACACTTGGTTCAGGGTAGTAAGATGCATGCAAAAAAAATAAAAATAAAACAAACTGTTTTAAATGCAATAAAATCTTCAGTCAGAACTAGTCAGAACACTTGACTGCTACTGTATTTAAAAACACCAGTCCCATACGATTTTATACAAGGAGATGGTACTTGTATTCTGATGAGATTGGTGGAGGATTGGTGAACAAGGCAGTCCTCTTGTTGGAAAACATTGAGAAAACTGTGTTGGTAAAGAATGTAGGGGGCTGGTGATACTAAAGTGAGATGTGGGGGTTGGAAAGTGGGGTGTGGGCTCGTATTTTAGATGATTTTGGAGAGGGGGAAAATAAGACTCCATTATTAGACAAAGCTTTCTACCTTGCAAGTCAGCTTTCGTCAATGCAACTTTTGTTGGCAGAATGATAGGAAATGAGAAGTCAAAGTATAGCAGCGGTTAGTAAGAAGCATGAAAATGTCACAGAGGGACTGACAGAAATATATGTTGTTAGGCAGAATGTACAAGGAAATGATTTGTCTGGAGAAAGAGCAGGTTCAACATTACTTCATATAGTTAAGGTCTCGATATGACAAAGGTCAAAATACAGGAGCAGCTTCTAACTCAAATTAAGTAACTGCAGGCCTTCAAAGAAACTAATTTTTTTTTTTCCCCCACATATTTTCAAGGTCTGAATTGTCATAAAGATTTTGGAACAAAACACCCTATTGCAACCCTTCAAAATAGAATAAATATGTTTTTGTCTGTAATTCAGTTACTGTTTAGTCTGGCACCAATTGATAATGGCAAGTTTGACAGGCCTTCCCATGCACTGAATGGGATTACATTTGTTAGGCTGGAACATGAAAAAAGATCAGATGTACTTAATGGTAAATGAGTGGGAGAAAGTAGAATAACCGACTGAAGCTGAAGAGAGAAAATCAAATATTGTCTCTGGATATGGTGCACACATTAGACTGGGCAAATGATATTCATGCATGCAACAAAGGGTTCATCCATAATTCAAAAGGATCGCTTCAGGCCATATATCTCAGATCCAGCAAGCATGTGTCATGTAAAATAGAATAGGGATGAAATGGGAAGCAACATTGGCACAACAAATAAGGTGAAGAGAATAATTAGATTAAAGCCAAGTGAAACTGAAATGATCGTCTGTGGAAGAGTGTTGGCGCTTAATGCAGTCAAACAGAATACTAACATGCTTTATGAATGTTAAATTACATGCCACAAGTTACTAGTGTGGCTATATTTTTGGCAATGCCTCATAATTGGTGTTGTTTGTTATGTCATGACTCTTAGGATTTTTTTATGATGACATGGCTAGGGGAAACATTGTGTAACTTTCTATTTTTTGTGGGATTAGGTAGTGCTCACCTTCACACCCTCTTTCTATCTGTCCCACACAGTCCAGAGCATCTGACATCAAATCTGGGAGGCGTCCGTTCAGATCCACAGATGCCAGGCAACCCTGAAAACCTTCCTTGGCATGTACCAGTTTGGGCAGGTCCTTATACATCTCCTTTGCCACCCCACCTATGTAAAGGTTTCCTGTAAAAAGGTCAGAAATATGACACTGCTGACACCTAGTGGATGTAAAGTGAAAGCTGAGCCCCCCCAATCAAGTTTTTCCCCCCCTTTTTTTTAAGTAATAGCAAATATGAACAAACAAAAAAAAAAAATCTTTTGTTGCCTATGTATGGTTTTAAATTATCATGAAGTAATTACTAAATGTCATATAAAGTCCAAGCCATATATTTGCCAACTGCTTTGTCTTGTGCTATTCATAATTTCCGAGGAACTAAACTCCTTCAGGTAGAACACAGTACATTTCACTTCCAATCATAGCTGCTTTCATGCTGGTAATAGACCATTATTTCAAATAAACATTTTCCTTGACTGTTTAGCTCAGTACAAACGGTGCCTTCTATGAACTGTCTGCAATATGTCCACATAGTTAGACAAAGAAAAAAAAAAAAAAACCTGCTGAATTATTTCTCTTAGAAACGCATGGACTAAATTTTCCTCTTCCATTCCAGGAGTGTTTTTCCTGTCTTTTATAAATGTAAATCATAAACCCACTACTTACTTAAAACCTCTGGTTCCTCCATGATAATAAAAAATATCTATTACATACATTATACCACACACATTTTCAGCAACAGTTTGACTAGTAACACTTTGCTGTCTGCCACCCAAAACAAAAGTTGTTGAATGTCATTCAAATATAATTTCTTCTCCATTGCAAAACTACAGTTAAGCTTAACCAATACTTTACATTTCGAGATGTCTAATGCTTTAAGTTATTAATTTGTTATTAACTGCATTGTTATTTATGTTGAATACTTTTTTCCTGAAACCTGACAACTCTTTTCCAAAGATTCAACAACTTATTTTTTAATGGAAGCTAAGGATGTTCTAAAATGTACAATATAGGGAGACACTTAATAAAGTGTCTGGTTTCTGTATAATAATTCTGAATGTGCACTTACCTTTCAGGTCCAGATTCTTGGCTCCTGAAGTTGTCTGCGTAGTAATCTTGGTATCGATCTTGACTGTGTGTAGATTGTTAGTGTCTCTGGAGATTATAACATTGTGCCACTGGTTGTCACTAAGAGGTTTATTGGAGTTTCCTTTGATGAGGTGGGCTCCATTCCCCAGGTCAGATACATAGTGAAGATAACTAGAGACAGGCATGAAACAGTATGAACAAACGTGAGCACACTTCAAAACAGGAGTCTCAAACTCTTGAGGGCCAGTGTCCTGCTTCTTTTTGATGTAGAACACCACCCTAAACACCATAATCAAATAGCTTAAGTACTTAACCAGCAGCAATAGAGCTCTACTAATGAGCTCATATTGGAGTCATGTGTGTTGGAAGAGGCACATTGAAAAGGTGCATGACACCAGCCATCAAGGATTTGAGTTAACCTTTGGAATCAGAATAATATGCTACCATTTCTGGCAAATATAAAACATTACCGCTTTAAAGTATTCTGAAGTTGTACACCACAAGTCAAGTGGAAATGTACTACGGAACTTGAAAACTGAAGCAAAAAATGTTATGTGTGTAGTTGCTGGTGTATTGTTAATTCTAAGAAAGCATTATAGAAGTGCATCTGTCTTAAAAGCCTAATATTGAAAGTTTGCTCCAGTACTCGGCAATCCAATAAACAGAAAGCTTACATTTTGTGCACATTTAATACAAATGCATGGATTAAAAGCTGATAAAACTGAAAATTCAATTTTTGGACATTGTTAAAAAGAAGGTAATTTTAACTATTAGCAATAACAAACACACCTCTGTGAAGCTGACTCTCTTAAGTGGTATGTATTTGCTATTCCCCATGAAGATTAAAGGCACAGCACAAGCAGACAGTTCAAGATTTTTTTTTTTTTTTTTCACATTAGTGTTCCTCAGACATCAGAAACATTTTTACTGCTATTTTTCCTTTCTGGATACTTGTTAGAATGTATTAACCACTAACCATAGCAATTTGGGTTTTTTTACACCCTGGAACAGATAAGTGGCATCAAGTTAGAATAACTCCAAGCCCTAGCAATAACCCTGCAAGAATATTGACAATGCAGCATTACTGTATGTGTTTTTACTAAAAAGTGGCTGCAGGATCATATCTCGGACTCCAACGTCTCTCTGCCAGGCTTTCTGACCATACAAGCAGACAGAGATTTGAAGAACTGGAAAACTCAAAGGAAGTGGATTGGCATTGCTTGTGAGCAACAAATGGTGTTGCTCAGAAAATTCATCAGCGCTGCCAAGATATTGATCTGTTGCCAGTTTTTTTTTTTTTTTAATAACCGTTTATTGTCCACCTTCTGCCATTGCCGGCAGTGCATGTGAGGTAACCACCAGCTCTATTGTTACTAGGCTCCCAACACAACACCCAAATGCATTTGTGGCAGTAACTGGCAATTTTAATCATGCCTTACTCTCTGCTACACTGCCAATATTCCAACAGTGTATCAGCTGCAGTACCAGAGAAAACAAAACTTTGGACTTGTTTTATACAAATATCAAGGACTCCTCTCTAAATGCATGTCTTAGGTAAGGCCTTCTCTTGAAAAATAATATCACATCTTGTTTTTTTCTGCTTAGAGTATAAGACACTTTATAACATATAACCTATATTAAAAATATCTGTAAGAAGATGGTCACAGTAGGCAAAAAAAAAAAAAAACCTGCCAGGTTGTTTTGAGGCTACAGACTGGGCAAATTGTCCGCCACATGGAGAGGACTTCACTGCAATCGTTGAGTTTGTGATTAATTTCATAAACATGTGTGTAGATAATACCATCCTTACCAGAGCAGTGAAATTGCTACAAAATAATGAGCCATTGATCACAAGTGATCTGGAGCAATTGCTCAACAAGAACAAGCAAGCCTTTAATAAGGGAGACAAGGAATTAATAAGGAGTATACAGAAGCAACTTAAGCTCAAGATAAGAGAAAGCAAGGATGCATACAGGAAGAAGCTGGAAAGCAAACTCCAGCAAAACAATATATAAAGATGTGTGGTCAGTGATGAAGAAGATCCCAGGCTTCAAGCAAAAGGATGGAATGAACTGAAAACAGTCCTCAATAGGTTTAGTTCAGGAACAGGCTCAGCATCCATCTCTCTTGCCCACAGTCACACAGACATCCTGCCCTCTTCTGCCATTGAGTCTTCTGCATCTATCAGTTTGTTGTCAGCCAAATATTAGATGGTGCTGCTCCCTCCACCTTTCACTTTTATCTGTTTCACAGGCATGTGCAGAGCAGCTCTGTGGGATTCTCCAGCACCTCTTTAACCGTAGGCTGACCCAAGGGACAGTTCCACTGATGTGGAAGACCTCCTGCCTTGTTCCAGTGCTAAATAACATGCAGCCAACAGTCCTCAATGACTATAGACCTCTTGCACTGACATCCCACATCATGAACGTCGTAGAAAAACTTCTGTTGGTTGACTCCAGCAAGCAAACAGGCAGCTATAAGGACCCCCTACAGTTGGCTTGTTGCTGTGAAGTTGGAATTGAACCTGCTAACACACTGTCACTTAGACAAGGCAGATAGCACTGTGAGGATTGTGTTCTTTGATTTCTCCAGTGCATTTAACACAACTTACTTTGTGAAATAATCAAGAAAGTGGAGGCATTAACCATTGCCTGGATCAAAATCTACCTGACAAAAGAACACAGTTTGCTAGACTGAAGTCTCATCGTATTGTAAGGAGCAAAGGAGCACCACAGTGGAAGGTTCTTTCACCAGTCCTTTTTTATTCTGTACACCTCTGACTTCCAGTAACTGACATAGTCCTGCTGACTGAAGAAATACTCGGATTACTATGCAGTCAAAGATGGACAAGAAGCTGAGTACAGAGAGCTGGTGAACTGCTTTGTGGCATAGTGTGGAAAGAGTCCTCTGGTGCTGAATGTCAACCAAGAAAGTGAGATGATTTTAGATTTCAGAAGAAAGGAACAAGCTGAAAGGAACAAGTTGAATCCTGTTCACATTATGGGAGAAGATGTTGAGGTGATGAAGGAGTAGAAATACCTCTGTGTTCAGCTGGACAACATATTGACTGGAGAAGCAACTGTGAACCATCTACAAGTAAGGCAGAACAGACTATAATTCGTAAAGGAGTTTAGGTGCTTCAACGTTTGCAACAAAATGTGGCATACTGTATCTTCTATAAGTCTGTTGCGGAGAGTGTGATCTCTTCTGCCATCATCTGCTGTGGTAACAGTATTAGGGCTAATGACTTCAAAAAGCTCAATAAGCTAATAAAGAAGGCCAGCTCTGTTCTAGGAACTTCTCTAGCCCCTCTGGAGATTATTTCACAAAGAATTCTTCATACAGTGAATAAGATTATGGACAACAGTGGGCATCCACTTCAGAAGATTTTTAAACGACAAAAAGTGTTTTCAGTCAGAGCCTTCTCCAGATCCAGTGCAAGACAGATGCTACAGAAGATCCTGCCTGCAGCTATCAACACCTTCAACAACTCGATAAAAAAACTGACAAGAACAAACAAAACAAAAACCCTATGAGTTACTCCAACATTGAATTTCCCTTAATCAAGTATTTTTTAAATGATTGAATTGAATATATATGATGATTTTAATAAGAAAAGGAAGGTGAAGCCAAGACAAAGAAAAGTCAATTTTTTTTTCAAAAATATTATTCAAAGTAACATAATGAACCTTTGTTTGGAGTTGCTGACTATTTCAACATAAGCTTATAATTATTTCCATTGGAAATCGAGGGTGAGTTGGACACTGCACTGCTGCCTAGAAATAAAAAACTGTGGCCAGAGAAATTATCTAATGTAAAAGAATAGCAATTCTAAAAGCAAACATATAGGAGTTTAAGTGTTTTATTGCTATCTGCAATTTGTTTTTCGAGTTAAAAACTAAACATGTTTCACTCTAAGACCAGATTTCACAAAGGAAAATAATAGTAGATACACACTCCATCCTCCCTCAACTTCCTGTGTAAATAATCGAAAGCTGTGTTTAAATAATGCAAACGTGATATTTTAAAGGTTTAGAAAATACCATCCACATGCACTACTTGATGCTTTTGATCAACATATCTGGATATATACTGAGGATGTCTAGAGAATTATCTAGCCCAACGTAAAATCTGATTTTAACAGAATTTTAACAGAACCTCAGCAATGATGTTCTGAACACTGTCATCAACCTAAAAACTTCCAATAAAGGCACTTGGTGCTTTATCAATTTTTAATGAGAGGGATGGATCCACCTACCCTTTGACCAGTTCCACCACTATGAAATCATTTCCATCGCCACTGTTGTAGAGGATGAGACCATCAGGAGATGTGGTTTTAAACTGAAAGAAAAGGTGCATCGAGTAGTAGGCCTGCAGAGTGGTGAGAGTCACATAGCTGGAACGTGACTTGAAGGTGACCGGATCAGCAATAATGTTCTTGAAGCCAATCATGGCATTGAGTTCACAATAATCAATGTCACCATTTTTGCACAGGTCAATGTAAGCCATGCCATTGAAGGAGAGGCTTTGAAGGTGGCCAATGAAGTTAGACGGCACCAAGGACATGAAGCGCTTCTCTGTCACGATGCCGGTCTCAATGTTATGAAATTCCAGCTGGGTGTGGTCACCTGCCATTTGACCTTCAATTTAAAGGGAAGGAAGAAAAGAAAATATTATTGGGGTGTAAATCAAATTTAAGGGGAAGAGCTGTGAACTTAAGGATCCAAAAATTTCATCAAAGTGATTATGTGATGTTAACACAACTTGTGACATTAAAACAGGCGTGTATGCCTTTAATTTTGGATTAATGTTTTTTTTTTTTTTAAAGAAGGTCCAAATACAATTTGTTTAATGTAGAAATATTTATATTTATGTTATGAAAATCAACCCCAGGACATAAGCAATAGCTTCTAGAATTATTCACAGCTTATATATATATATATATATATATATATATATATATATATATATATATATATATATATATAATTACTCTTTCAAGTTGAGTAATTTTGTGATTCATGATACTGCCACCACTATGTTTCACAGTAGGAATTGTGTGTTCAGGATGATCTATAGCATTAATTTGGCCTTTTGTATGTAGGGCACAAAATTCAGCTTCAAACCAATTTGTCAAGATCATTTGTTGTATTTCCTATATGGCTTGTGCAAAATGCTAACACCACTTTTTATGTTGTTCTTTCAACCATGGGTTGTATCATGCAAATTTTTATTCAGGTCATACTTGAACATGCCAAACCTAATCTATATTGGGAAGCGATTCTCCCACCAATGAGGGGAATCTAAGCAACTTCATCAGGGTTAACCTCTTGGTTACTCAATGGATTAGTGGACCACGTTTTGTTAGGCTTTATGCTGTTCTTTATGCTTTCATTTTTAAATGAAAGGTAGCTCTAGTATAGTGAATTTACACAAAGCCAGATTTATATTGATTATTTCCATCGGATCTATAGGCGTCATAGTGAAGGAAGGGTTAATAGAAATACACCCTAAATTCTATCTCTTTTATTTAAAACCATATATGATTTTCCTTTCACTTTATATGAATACTTTAGCAAGGCACAGTACTGACCTAGAAACAGAAGACCAAACAAACCAACCAAATCCTTGAGTAAATTACTCTGCAGTTGGTGTTTTTTCTGTTGCATGGGTTTACTATAGGTAGACCCCGAGAGCTGTAAAAGTAAATAGAGAAGACTAAAATAAAGGATTAGAAGTACCTTCCACAGGCGGTAGTTCATCTACAGTCAGTTTCAAACTCTTGCCTCTCCTGAACACACGTACGGTATGCCACTCATTATCGTTCAGGTTCTGACCCGCAAAAATAGTCTCTGGACCTTTGCCTGTGGGACAGTCCAAAAATTGGTTAAAAACACCCATGCACTCTAACACACATGCAAGAGAAAGGTTAAATGGTAATACAAGGAAAAACAATCGTTTAGATAGGAGACAGAAAGAACGCCAGAGAGAATGACGGAAACAGTTAGAGACAGGAAGTAAACATAGTAAATGGTCCATTAACGACATCACTCTAAACTACATTTGCAGCATCATTAGACATAATTTCTAAAGTACTAGTAAGCACAGTTTTCTTTAAATTACAGTATCATTATTCAGTATCATTATTCAAAATAACCTTGGCATTGTTTTTCTCTGCCATTTTTCTTTAATTTAAACAAGAATCCAATTGAATTTGATTCTGTCTTTATGCTCCACTTGGTGGCAGCAAATACCTTCCAGAGTTATATATTTACACAAAGCGCCTTACAAACAAGAATAACTCTCCATCTTGTCAACCCACAACAGCTATTGCCTTTCTTTAACCTTCATGTAGTGAGAAAAATAATAATTTTCAAAGAAATTTTGTTATATCAGATGCAGTAAGCTTGGAGGTAAAACAAAAGCAATGCAGAAAAACAGAAAACCTAAAGAATATCCATAAAATCACTTAAAGCAAGAAAATTGGAAAAAAGAAAAGAAATACAGAATGTGATTTTTTTTTTTTAGAAAAGTGAAAATTCTCTCTGTTTAAAATTATTAAAGAAGTGTAGCATTTAGTTGGCAGTAATAAATGTGTCATTTTTGTATCTATCTGAATACCAAATGCAACACTAAAATTGCATAAAAGCAGCTTTGCAACTAGGGAGAGATGGAGGTGTCAGACAGCTACAGTAATAGGCCAAAAAATATTTAGAATTGCAAATAAAGATCAGAGGTCATGTTTTAAATCGGTGCCATGTTACCTCAATTATAAAAAAGTGGAATGTTTAATTCATAAAAAAACAGAAAACAAATTAAAACTGGGATATCTAAGGCCAAACATGCCATTATTTTTATTAAGTGTTGTTCATGGTGAAGTTTTTAACCACTATATTGCACTGATGTTCTCCTGCTGGACAGACATAACAAACAGGTCAATGAGGTTATACCACAGCGATAGCATTTTAATTGCCCAGGATCTGGATCTATTTTACACTGTCAGAACTATTTCACAGGTGTGTCCAGGCTCATGCACCTGAACCCATTTTTGGGGTATTTATTTTCTGCCTCTCTGCAATCTCCAAAGCTTCAGTGCAATGTGTATGCAAATTTGAGGGCACCACAGTACCAGGACACCATAAGTATCAGAGGCGCAGTACTGCTTTGTAAGCACTAAACACTGGGGCAGGGTTGAAACCAGGCGACTGGTGAGGGATTAAGAAGGAGAGATATGAAATAATGGGATGGGGCTGAACTTGAAAGCATGCTTGATCTTTGCCTTCTATCATTCATGTCCTTGTTGCTCTCCAAGGAGGGAAAGAGGAAGAAGATAAAGAGGGCAATCATTTGCACAACATTCACTGCAGCAAAGAGTGTTATATGATAATTTACAGTATTTTTTAACCTAGTTGGCTTTGGTTATGGAATATTTCAGTATAATTGTATTAATACAGGAGCAAAACATTTCAGTAAGGGGTTGCAATAATGATATGAGAACATTTTTGGACACCAAACCTGCAATGCATGATCATATTTATAAATAGATTGCACAGATATGCAACTGCGTGGAAAGGTGAAATATATCCCTTTTATTTTTATTCTATTTTTTTTCACAACTAATGATTGATTGAAATATTTTCGATTGGAAGTTTAAAGCTTTCAAATGTCCCCAAAAATGCCCCAAAGTTATCAACTTTTTCTAAGGAAATAAGAAATAGGTTGGATTGCCTTCTGTTAGGGGCAACTTTATACGTTTGGTTTAGCAAGAACGATTAATTTTCATCCGTGCAGACAGATGACTTTGAAACTTTCCAATTATGAAAGAAGAAGCTGTGTAAATTAGTTAGCATAGCAACATGCTTCCAATATATACTATGATCATATTTATATTTAAGTTGCTCAATGCCAAAGAGATTTCCAGAGTTGGCAAAACTCTCTCCATGGGAATGACCCCGACACCTTGCTCTTACCTGTAACAATGCACTCTTGGGCACTTACATGACAGAAAGTCAGCAGTTAGAAATCCATGTGATGGAAACTAACAGCGATGCCTCTGGCAATGTAAGACTTTTTGACCAATATAAGACACTGTGCTAAAACAGTTCAGTTCAGTTCTAGAATAAGCCGTACAGTTAAGTACCCACAAGGAAGCAATTATTTTAGCATTATGATTCTGTTTTCCCAGGTGGTGTAGGAGCACAAAATTAGAAAAGAATTGTTGCTAGACATGTTTATATGTTTAGGGAAAAAAAATTTTCAGCACAAAATATATTTTTAAATTATTCTTTGTATTAGAATTTTAGTGTTCTTTTTCTTTTAATGGGAAGTTAAAAGTCAGTTATGGACCAAATTTATAGGCTTAATAAGGTGCAGATCCACTGGTACAAATGAGTTTAAATACAAAAATGTAGATTTACTTTAGTTTATAGTCTAATGTAATTTAATTCTGTTTATTTATATAGCGCCAATTCACAACACATGTAATCTCAAAGCACTTTACAGATACAACCAAATACAGTCAAATTGATTCAATGTTTTCTATCTAAGGAAAACCAGTTGATTGCATGAAATAATTGACTTGAAGGCAATACCTCACACCAAGCATGCTTGTAGTGACAGTGGAGAGGAAAAACTCCCTTTTAACAGGAAGAAACTTCCATTGTGAGCCACACTCAATGTCATTTTTGATTATTAATATGTTTTACGATATACATAATGTGTTACATAAACTGAGTTTATTTAACCGTTACTATGATCAGGTTTTATCAATTATCATTGGCTAAGAGTTTGCATCCGGACTGTGTGCTGTATGCAATAGCTAACCCAGCCAGGGGCCAGCTAATCCGTGAGTTAATATTGCCTTCTAAAATTCTGCAGAAATGTATAAACTGCAACACTGTAAGGGGTGCAGAGTACTTTAGCTGATACTGACTTTAAAATGTATCTCTACAAGAATGTAAATGTCTTTAGCTAAAACTGTTTTGGAAATCATTTTCAAAATGTGACATATTTAGAACAGTGCAATTACTAACAATTTACTCAATTGCCTTGGTCTCAGTATAAAGAAACCATATAAGAGTTCAACCAATAAATACATTTTAATTGAAAATTCAATCTGAAAGACTTATCAGCCTCCTCTTGAGCACCTGCTATCATACGTCAAGCTTTAGCCAGTCAATGTCGGGATCACGCCTTCTCTGAAGTCAATCACATTTTAAGAATCCACTCATTTAGCTTCTGGCCTAGCTTCCCTGCTGCATGCCTGCAAACTTTCACCCACCTCTGCCCCATCTCCTCCCTCACTCCCCAGCTATTCTCAGTCTCCTTCATCCTCAATCTTCTTCCACTACCAGTTTCCGGGCCCAGGGGGGAAGACTAATCAAAGTCTTCTGCTGGGGCCCGAACACCAAAGAACTCATTTCATATATGTCAATAAAACTTTTCTAATCGCAGCTTTTCTCTAGGTTAGTCTCTCCAGGTTGAAATTCCATACAAAGCAAGATTGCAGCACAAATGTGTCCACTTTAGCTTTTGCAATGTTTTACTTGCAGATAGATATTTTTATAAATGTTTGTTTAGGATTTTGCATGATACCAAGAAATTGTGGTTCACTTGATTTTGAATGTAAAACTATTCTGGTAAAAAGCTGTAAGGAAAAACATACAGTTATGTAAGAAACCTAGACCAACAGATCTATATTTTTTATATATGTGTATTAGTGTTATCTAACTTCTAAGAAAATTCTTTAAGTAATCACTTGTGTAAAATTGTCTGATTCTGTTTTTATTGTTATTGGTTTCATAAGAGCAGCAATCTATGATATCTCCATAGCATTTATAAAACTATATTTTATTCCTTGCTGTGTGTCATTTTACCGTTAGCATTTTTAACACAATATTTATCTTTTTGGTTTTCTTAAGTTAAGAAACACTTGGTTCTGTTTTTCTAATAGCACTATCATTAAGAAACAATATAAAAGGATTTTTAGGCAGGTTTTTCTGCAAGGATCAATAGCAGCAGCTAACTTCCTTCCTGATGGCATGTCCATGATGGCAGAAATGAAAGCGCAGCATCAGAAAGTAAGATTTCCACATAATCAGTTCTGGTTTGAACCCAGGTCAGATACTGTGGAACAGCCTTTCTCGGGACCTTTACTAACACAAAAGGAAATGATTTGGCAAGCACAAGGTCAGTGTGCTCAGTTACTTTTAATACAGAAAACTTAAGCTGACGTTTGAGCTGACCAGCTTGTTTAAATCAGTTCCTAAATGCTGCTTAGATACTAATAATTCTATTGAAGTCTGTAGGTTTTGCAGCATTTGGCATGACAGTCCAGCTCTTAGTAAACAGGGTAAGGCAAGCAGTTACTGTAGTCAGTATGATTATTAAAAGAAAAAAAAAAAAAACATCTAAAAAAATGTTTAAGTATGCCAGTGGCTGAGATATACTGTATTTCACTTTTTAACTGCATTTTTATTCAACCTTATTTGTAATTAAAAATCATCATCAAAATGTAAATTATGAACAGATTTCTTGGCAATATTAAGTGCTGCTCTCTGCCCTATAGTCTATTTTTTTTTTTATGCGAATAAGATTATTTGTGAAATTCAAATGAAAGTATATTCTGTTTGACTTCAATTTGTCTGCTCTGCAAATGTATTACCACTAGCCTTTTCCACTGAGTTGCTTTAAAACAACTAAACAGTTTGTTTTATTGCATGACTTTAAAGCAATCTCTTTAAATCATACTGCACAGTAGATGCAACAGTAAACTTTTAAAACAGAAATAACGCTCATAGAAATTTCTTATCTCCCCTGAACTTTAATAAGCAGCATCTGGTACCACTTCTATTTTAAATTTCAAAAAAACTTTTATATCATTAAAGCTTAAGTGTGTAATTTTCAGCGACATCTAACGTCCAGACTGCAGACCGCATCAACATGAACATCTCC